GCCTTGTCCTCTGGACATCTTTATGTTTTACAGAAATGGTCAGATTGGATATGGTCAAGTACGCTGAACACCTTTAATAAAAAAAAAGCCTTCAGAGAAGTTCAATATTTTTATTCTAATCTCTTTTGAAGATGTACCTGTGAAATTACTGGCATTGGGTACTTGAAATCTCCCCATCTCTTCAAGTTTAAAAATACTTGGTCCCAACAGACCACACTTGACAGAGCAGAGCTTGATCCCCTACTACTGCTGCTGAGATTGCAGAAATGGAAAATCATTAACACTATCAGGGTCATTTCCACCTTTGCCCCATTGTGAGACCTGCACCCTTGATTGTTTCTTCCCTAATATTAGAGGCCTAAAGCAAGAATTTTCTAGCATCGATCTTGACACCTCTGGCACAATCTCCCAGGGCATACTACTAAGTGGTTTAACAGGCACTTTCATCTTTTTCCCCAATTCCATGGTTGCACCCTGAGTCCATAACTCCCCACTACTGCCCTATATTGCTCCCTGTTGGGTGTAACACTCACTAAATGTCATTAGACAAATCATGCAACAAACACGTCCCATCACAAGTTTAGCCCATGCTTCATCAAGCTGAAAGCATGAATTTTTTTAATAAACTCTTTTCACTTGACCAACTCCCAGTCTCTTAATTATTACTGACATCTTTTAAACACCATCTATTTCACTCACATCCTGAGTAATTCCCATGTAGTCCCACAAAAACCCTACAAAGAAGGATTATTTCTGCCACAAGTCTTTCCTTTTTTTTAAAGGCTTGGTTCAAAACCTAGAGGGATTACTATTAAAATTTCTTTTAATTTCAGGAGGCTTTAAATCCTTTCACTGCTTATAATGTGTGTGCATTTAAAAAATCATAAGGATCTTAAATAAATGGAAAAAATATTTTTCCACAGGTATGGTTAGAAAAACAGGTTTGTGCTACACAGAAGAGAAGACACCTTTGAAACTGCTACAGTTTCAAGACCAGCAATGCTGCAGTGTGTGTGGCCTGGCTTTCTGCCCCATTTCTCCTTGCTGGCCCTACATGGCTTCCTACTCTCCTCTAGATACCCTCCACCCAGCTCCTCACAGTGGGCTCAGGCTGTCTTCCACACTCACAGGAGTCCCTGATGACTTGTTTTTTCATTATTTTACTATGACATTCATTTCCTTCAGGTACGCGTAAGAAATATTGAGTCTTGACATTTTATTCACAATTTCATCCCACAATAATGATCAATTTTCATTGATTTCTACTTGAAAAAGACAAAAAGATTTTGTGATGGCTTGCAAAATACAACTTCATGAGAGATAATTTCTTAATGTGGAGATTTCCTGAGTGTAAAAAATGTTTCACAAAACATTGCCATCTGCAAATAAGTCTTTGGCAGCTTACAAAGTGCCTGTCCTCAATTCAAAGTTCATGAGGATGATCCCTGCCCTTGCAATCTCAAACACAGCCTCACTTATATCGTAAAGTGAAGACCACTTGAAAAATTACACGTTGGCATTGTGTATTTTCCTCTTAGGCATTATTTGCCACAGGAAACACATATTACCAGGTCAATAGTTATAGTAGCTGATTTTCAGGTATGGCTCAAGATATTGCCCCATGTACAAGTATACACAGGTTTCAACAATTTGCAATTTGGTTGGTTCAGTACTACCACTTCTTACTTAAGAGCACAGAAGTTGCAGTAGGTTTTCGTGGAAATCACAGCCTTTGTATTCAGTAACCAAGACTCTGCATAGGATGCCTTCATGATTTTCTCTGGGGTTCATTTCTCCAACTGGTCTGACAAGAGTCATGCTTATTCACCTGTGGGGAACTGCATGCAGCAAAGCATCTCCCATGCTCTGAGGGCCATGTTCTTGCTGGTTATATAAACACCTACATATACGGTTTTACATACTTTTTTACATAATTTTACATATCACATACTCTTTGCCCTTGTTTTGCTCTACTCTCATCTCTCACACAATGTAAGCAGACTTTTGCAAATTAGAAAGACAGTACATATGTTGATGAAGAAACTGTATCAGTTTATTGCTGACAACTCCATCTACTCCTTTAAGTCCTCAGTCCCTAATTCCATTTGTTACACTGTGTTTCAGCTCAGATGTTGCCTACATACCAACTACAAGGCTTTACAACACAGGGATAAAGCTTCAGACAAATTGAATTATCAGTACATCGACAAGAAATCAAATTAAACCACCATGACAACAACCATGTGGAAATCCTACTACACATTCAAACAGTCATGTTTAACCCTGCCCCACGCAATACTGGTTAACTCCCCCACCTTGCAGGGAGCAGCCTGGCATGCTGCAGAGCTGACATGCTGCCCAAATAATTTTATCTGCTGCAGGTTGAGGTTAGCATGGCAGGAGCTATCTCGAAGGATGCAGGATGCCAGTGTTCAATCACAGCAAGCTTCTGATGCAAAAGCAAGGAGATGGGGCATGAGGCAAGCTATGCTTAGGGAGATGAAAAAATTTAGTGCTGAAATCAGGACATAAAGATTGCAAGTGTAAATTAGTTTACTGAAACACTGGTTGAGAGGGAGCACTAGAGGTGATCTAGACCAAACTAGGATTTCCTGTCCTGAGTCCATTGGTATTTGGGCCAATATGAGTGAGCATCCCAGAATGCATGAAGTTTGGAGAATGTCGCTGGCTGCAGTCTCAGCATGTGCAATGTACAAGGAAGCACCCTTGAGCTTGCTGTGTCACAATCTCCATGACCAGTGCAATCCCATTCAAGCACTATGGATCTACAGTTCTACTGACAAAACGCATGTATTCCCCTTCCCTTTTTACTGGGGACCTTCCTGCACCATCTTTGGAGGAAAAAAAAACAAACACAGAGCTACCTGACCCCCAGTAAAACCCACCTAATCTTTACAAAGCCAGCTAAAAATTGTGCTGCTTATTCAATCTACAAAATCAGTGATTCAGGATGCTTCCTCTTTGAACAAGCAGAGCTTACCATGGCGCTTGCCCTGAAAATACATCAGACTTGCAGACTCCAGCCTCAACATGAGCAGTAGGTTTGGTGAGCTGGCTGGACCACACTCTATTTCAATTTAAGACGCTCTTCCCAATTTCTTCTCCTTCTCAGAAGTATTAATTTATGGGCAGCCTTTGTATAAAGTGCCTCATAAATTATTTTTCAAAGCAAGAGTTTGGAGTGGGGCATCCTCACAGCAAGAATGGCAGACTTGAGCCAGGGAATAAGCCTTATGTCTTAATTCCTTTTTTCACAATGATTTTGCTTTAGCAGTTGCATCTGCAAAGATGTAATAGGCAAACTAGAGATGTGTCTGGAGAGCTGCACAACTCATAGCAAGGCTAAAGCACTCTCTCTTTTCGCTACAGGGAAATTTCAGATACATACGTCCAGTCAAGTTTCACACGGGTCCAGATACGGATTTCCCAACCCTCTGGCACGAGTTCCCTCTTCTAATTCTAGATGATGTTCAGGGCAATGACAATTTCCTCTTGCACAGCTGTAAAGAAGCTGGTAAGTTCCCTGTATCTCCTTCTTTTTCTTTTTTTTTTTTTTCCCTTTTCTCCAATAATTGGACATCAGCCTGTTCAGATGCTTTTAACTGCCCTCACTCAGTCAGGGACCAGAAAGCTTGAAATGCTGAATCGTGGAAGTGCAATTTTGGCTGCAGCATAGGGATGAGTGTAAAGAAAAGAAGAAATACATGGGGATTGGGGGATTGTACCTTCAAGGCTCTGATGGGACCTGAAACCACCCACAGTGGGACAGGTGAAAATGACAACACTGAGCGGACACAATACAAAAATCTCTGCATGTGAGGTTGGATACTTGGCTGATTGCTTTTTTGAGTGAAAGCCACGTAATATTTGGATGATTCCACTATGGAAATCTACTGAAAGATACACTGCGATTTCAAAAGCCTAACAGAGGAGCAGTTTAACACTTGCACTCTCTCTAAGCCACAAAAAAATCCCAAAGGAACAGAATAAAAGGACAAGCTTGACTGTGGGCACCACCCAGGAGTCACCCTATGCCCTTAGTCATCAGCCCTGAGTTTGATCTTCCAGTTCAGAGGACTCTTACAGGCTCCAGATGCATAATACATAATATACCAGAACAGGGCTTCCTTTTTACATGCAAACTTTTACTTCACTTGTGAATCCCCAGCCTTAAAATTTGCTTTGTAAACACTTTACCTGCTACCTTACTGGTGAGGAGTGTAGGTAGACAGGAGCAAGAAGTATTTAATATTTTAACGGCTCAAATAACAAAAACACCCCCCAAAATACAGAATTATGCACTTTTATTTCATAGTTTAAGTGTAATATGCATAAATTTAAAGCAGGTTTGGGTTGTTTTTTTTTTTCCATTTTCTCTCTCCTAACATTTTAATGATATAAAGCATTGTTCTCATGCAAGTCTGAATCGTTTACCTAAATATTGACCCAGTAGTTTTCCCACTGCCTTCAATGGCTTTGCAAAACATCGAGCTATATAGTCTTGAACCGATCTACCCTGGCAAAACCAAGGTGCTTTAAAGGTTTCAACTGCCGGGGCTGGGGAATTGGGACTCTCACGCAGTTACAGGTCGCATCTCTCCACACTCTTCACAGTCTTTACCGTCTACTCTTCGGCATGCTCCAACTCCCTCACGGGGAACTTTTACAGCATTGTCTTGTAGGAAACCGTCTGCTCAAAACCCCATGGGACACTGGTCCCTTTCCGAACCAGCTCAGCGATGTGCCCAAACCGCCCTGACGCCGCCGACTCCCGAGCTCGCTCCGTGCCTGGGACACCCGGCTGGCCTCTGCACCGCGCCGGTCCCGGCCCCGGTCCCTGTGCCGCTCGGAACCCCGCCGCGCCGCGGCTGAGTTTCTGCGAGCTTTCCCACCACAAAGCGTGCCTGCAGATGCAGCTCTTTCAGAAAAAAGTCTCCGGAGGCAGGCGGCCGCTTCGCCTCCCCCTAGCAGAGCCCTACCTCGGATGTACGTGCACTTGCTCTCGTCCAGCAGGCTGGAGGTAGAGCTGCCCATGCTGCCGGCGCCGAGGGACTGCTGCACGGGCGCTGCCGAGGAGCGCTGCCGCCCAGCCCAGCCCAGCCCTGCCCGGTGCTGCTGCCCACCCCGCGCTCCCTGCCCGCTTCCTCCAGCAGGCGCCGCCTCTCGCCCGCCGCAGCCGCCGCGAGGAGGTCGGGCCCGGGGGCGGGAGGGCTCCTCCGGCCCCTACTCCCGCCTCCCTCCGTCCTCCTCCCCTCCTCGCGGTCTCCTCCACGCTCCAGCAGCCCTCTTGCCGTGCACAGGAGGCGACGCCGAGGTTGCCCGTCGCCAGTCTCGTAAATTGAGGAGCAGAAGGTGGCAGGAGGCCCCAGAAGGAGTTGCAGAGGCAATGAAAACACATCCACCTGCAAGGCAGGCAGAGTGTGCCTCTAGATATGCATGTCCCTAGGTTTTTTCTTTGGCTCGTCAAAATGCACACATGTCGTTTGCTACCCCATCTCAAAATCTCCATCCCTCTGGAGATGTGCTAAGATGTTCTGAAGTAGCCATGGAGGCTACTTTAAAGATTATACATGTTGTTGGCATCATGGGATTGAAGTCCATTAGAAATATTCTCCAACATTTCTCAAGACAAAAGAACCACCTGAAATATCCTTCAAATAGGATGCCTCCTACAAGGCATGTTGAGACACCATGGGATTCATATGGCTTAGTATTCAGGGCCATATCTTCCTGCTCATCTTATTGGGAATCCTGGTGGCCTATATAGAATGCTATTTAATATACTATTCCAGAATCATAAACCTACAATTCCGGGGTGATAAACCTACACAAGCAAGCAATAAAATGTATGTCCCTTCAGTAAACATTACCCAATGATCAAACCAACTTCCTAAAACATGCAAGAGCACCAGTTTGCTGATTCTCAACACAGTGGTGTAAGATGGTATGGAACAGTTACCCAAATCTCCTTGCCTCTGAATAATAGTCTCAGCAAGACTTTATACCCTCTAAAACTTTCTAAGGTATTTTCTTGTCTTTTGCTGTTTTTATAATGATAATTCAACTGACTGGGAATGGGCAGCTTGCCATATGTTATTGTGCCTCATATGTTTAGTATGGAGTTGATGAGATGCAATGAATATGGATTGTGCTGTCACAGTGACTGGAAGTTATGCATTTTAGACTTAAATACTTTTCATTCAGCTTGTACACATCTGTCACTTACTGTGAAATTGCTCTAACATAGTTAAGTTTTGCTTATAAGGATTGTGCAGTAGGTAAATTTAGTACTTTGCCACTCAGTTGTTCAAGGAAAGTTAAAAATTTTTGAGTTGAATTGTAAAACATTTTAAACCAACGCTAAACTTGATCAGATTTGAAATATTGAAGCTGATATGTAACATCAAGTTCAGTATTCTGCTAAACAGCCTCTTCCTTCAAGAAACCTGATTGAAGGCAACTTCAATATAAATTCATGCTTGCTGGCCACATGCTGATTGCACCAAAATGTAACAGAGCAATTGTTTAACTACCCTGAGGAGACCACATTCATCCCAAGCATCACTAAACAGGATTTCAGAAGTCTATAAATAGCTGAAAATATAATATTAAATCGACAGCACTTCTAGAGGTCAAAAGTGGATCAGACTCTATTATCAATATATTTGGTTATTTAGTTCTCCTTGAGAGCTTTGCACTTGCTCACAGAAAGGTGGATGTTGTAGTTTGCTCACAGCACGTCTTTGAGCTGTGTGAGTAGGCAATGATGAGGAAATACGGTTTACTGTTGTGCATCTTAAAGGCGTTAACTTAGAGAAGAATTTGGGGTCCACTCAGAGTAGTATATGTTTTATCAAATGTCTTTGAGAAGCATTTCATAGTGTACAGTCATAAGTAATGTAAAGTCAGCTCAAGCAGTCTGGAGAGATAAACTATGGAAAATTCATGAGCTGTGAACTGGATTGCTATTCTGTCTCATCATTTAGCAGATGAAAATATGCCAAATCCCAGAAGCTGTATACCCAGAAACAGATGTCAGTGTGCATACTGAATGAGAAATCTCCCTGTCTAATTACAGCTAGGGTAAAAACAAACTGAGAACTGAATAGTGTTTTTAATTATAACATTTTATACTTTGGCAATACCTGATCCCCAAGATCCCCTAGCATTTCACAAATGCTAGCTAATTAAAGACCATAATTTTCCTTTTAAAATAGGGAAATGTGGTATTTTAATGGCAAAGTTTTTATCTTAAGTGTCTTAAAAAGATACCATGAGAAATGTGAGCAAAGTCAGGAACACATATAAATGATCTGTAACATATGCACATTGCAGCTATCAATGATAAAGTAATAACATCAAAACAAAAATACCACCAAAGATAAAAAAATATTTTCAAACATTTTCTCCAATGAAATCCTGATTTTTAGGGAGTTTTACCTTTACTCTCCCAAAAAGCTCCTTCTGTAAACACCTGTTTTGTATTATATCCTATGGGACAACATGATGGAACACTTCCATCTCATAGAGAAAGTGAATTCACGGGTGAACAGGACCAGGACATGCACCTCCTCTCCGACAAAGGAATGAAGATCTGTCTCCACTGCCTCTGCACTTGCAACAGCTTAACATCAGGAAAGAAGTGGTTTCTTACATCACCAGAGTCCAAACTTTACATATATTCTTTACCCAGGAGGCAGACAGTGAAACTGCTGGGAGCCCTCATACCCAAAAAGTGCAGTCAGTACACAGTCACTACGCTGCCTTATTTTGTGTCAGACTCCAACTCTGTTTTGAGAAGGGAGGGAGGGTGAAGGAGGTTCTCTCCACAACTGCTTTATTATCTCCCTGTGGAGGGAACTGTAACGTGCCACAGACATAGACATAGGCCCTGACGTGCCACAGACATAGACATGATGAGTTCCATTCTCAATGCAAATGTGCATATCACCATAATAAATAATATATATAAATAAATTTCCAGTGGTTGTTAGTCAAACACACAGTCCTTAATGTGACCACAGGGCTGACAAATTGCAGATGTCTCATCAGAAGGAGTGATAAAACCTTTGCCATATTGTTGGCTACTTCTCCTGTGTACCAACACTTATCTAATTGTAAATAAGACATGCCAAGGAATGAGTTACTTTGACATGCTGCATAATAGCACTTAACTGCACCCTTTGCTTTAGAGGGTTCGTCCTGTGTGTACTCTCCCACAACTTTCTTGGTTGCCTCAGAAGCACAGTTTATCAACCAGAAGCATTGGAGTGAAGTGTGTATGAAATCCACTGGGAGAGAAAAGAAATTATCCAGAACTACTTTATGAGATTTCTCCAAAGGCCCGTAGTCATTTTAAGACTGCCGACTTCTGTAAGCAGGATAACAAGGTACTCTTGACAGACAGCTGCAAATATAAAGCCATCACAGATAAGTAATATCTATTGCTAGAGGAAATGGTTAATCATTCTTGTCTGAAAGCCAAAACCAGGTTGCAGAAAGTAGTACGAAGAATATGTGTCAGAAGACAAAAGCAGCCCTTTTCTCAGGACAGGTTGTTGGTTGAAATATATTCTGAATCTCTTCTATCTAATACAGGAAGGTGTTATTCTTATGAGGTATTTTCAAAAGGTTGGAAGGAGGTTTTAAAATCTAACTGCAGAAGATAACCTAAGAGAATCACAACTGTTTTGGCTGGAGAGACCAAAATAGTATTTTGATAAACTAGCCTCAAAGAAAATTAGAGTTGGTTGTGCTTTACCTACTATCCTAATTCTGAGAGACCAGGAAGAAGCACTGAAAACCCAAAAAGGCAAGAGTGGATTTTAATAGATTCTTCATTAACAGAATCATGGAACAGCCCAGGTTGAAAGTGTTCGCAGGAGATCATCTGGTCTTTCATGGGAAAGGGAGCCTAGATGAGATTATCTAGCATGCTGTGCAATTGCATCTTGAGAACCTCCAGCAATGGAAACTACCATATCCCTGGAGATATTGTTCCAGTGAAAGATTGTTCTTTCTATAAGAAATTTCTTTCTTTTATCAAGATGAAGAGAAAAAGCATGATGTGGAGTATATGAACTGCTACCATGTTCTGGGGAAGAGATAAAATCTGAAGATTTCTGAAAACAATAACCTCACAAGAAAGGACTAAGAGACTTTGCTTTACCTTAATTTTGAGTTTATCTTCAAGCCCTGTTGTGAAAAGTGCCCCTGGTCTTCTCTTCTTCCCTCTCTGGTTTTACTGCAGGACTGACGTTGGCCTATCATCCACCACGTCAAGAACCTAGAAAGAACATTGGTTTAAGCTTGTTCTTTTGATGTCAGCTTTCTGACTCTTTGAAGCTGAAGTATGCTTTTGGAAGGTTGGATGGGCAAAGCTGGATCTAGAAGAACAGGAAAGTAAGGAAGTGCAGCAAACCCAAAACAAATGGGAATCACTAGGGGGGAAACTCTGTTAGGACATGACACAGGACTTGGGAAAGGAATCAAGACTCACAGTAGGAATGTGAAATTCAGAATCTTTAAGATGTGATTCTTGATTTTGTTTTGGATATATTAAGGAAACCTGAGCTGAGAATTGCCTCCAGCTGTTGCATACTTCATTTGCCTGTCCCAGTGGCCAAGTAATTACAGGGGTTTATGTGTATGTAAATTCAAATAAGTTATATGTGTTGAACTTTGTTTACTAAATACACAAAACCTATTTCATAAATTCAAATGTCATTTCCTTCTCTGCTTCGTGACTAGGCTATGAAATCTGTTAAATGACAGAGCTAGAGGTGATCATTCCTGCTCAGTTGCCATTAAGGGATGTATTTTAATTAGTTAGGGCATTCACATCAAAGCAGCTATAACATACAAGCCTTTGTAAATTAACTGTTGAAGCAAGCTTCCTCATTGTCAAACAAGATGCATTGATTTGTCTTGTCACCTTGAAATAGAGGTGGCATATAGAAACCAGTAAATAAAACTTCAGTTGACTGCACTTTTCACTGCCTACTGCTCACACAGCTACAGAAGAACAAAAAGGCACAGCTCACTATGATGATTTCAGCAGAAAAAGCAGGATAAAAACATACCTGTCAGAGATCCAATGGATTCTTTACTGTCTCAATTGGGCAGCCACACCTGC